GTCTCTGTTCTTTCTTCCTAGTTGTCCAAACTTGTCTAAATTCAGTGTAATGTAAAAATCAACAAAATGTCACATTAACCGAGTATGAATAGACGTAAAATTATGGGCAATCGTAATCCTTAACGTGGATTCCTCACAAGTTGAAAACAAACATTTTAGAAGTTTGAACTACGCAATGTATGCCGTACAACCACAGTACAAGTATAGAGCAACTGATTTTCTTTTGACGAATACAAACAATTTTTTTTCCTCTCGCATAGTTCGTCCGGAAATTATTTTCCTATTGTATTTGAGGAACTGCCCTTAGTGCTTTCAGTCGGAAACACTGTCAAAGCAGGGAGGTGAGACTTTAACTCACATGCCCTGGTCAAAGCATTGGCCTATATTTTTTTCGATAGACGTGACCTCACTGTGAGTGTTACTTCACTCGCATGAATACTGTTTACACTTGCGAATGAAAATAAGAATACGCAGACAATGGTGAATATCTGACTCGGTGGCAGTAAGAATAAGAACGAGAAATTTAATTCGTCATTGAAACGAATTAGGTGGGCTGTCATTTTAATCGAAAGGCTTGTTCCTATAGGCAATAGTCCCAGCTATATTATCCAAAATCTGGGAGATAATAGAGCAAAAATAAGCGAGATAGTGCTCAAAGAACGATGTCATGTAGTGATGTGAACGAAATTCACCTTCCATAGACATAACAAGCTAATTGAGAAAATTCTGACATGTCATCTTTAATTGAAAATTTCACTATGATGACGCCAACAAAATGAATATTGGTGGTAAATACAGTGAAACCCGTGTATGAAGACGACTCACTGGAGAAATGGCAAGCGGTCTTTATAAGCACGTGACATTTATGAACAGATTCATTTAATACTTTCAAAGAGAAACACGTTTTTCGATTGAAGTCATTTTAATTTCTAAGTCATAATTTCTTGGTAAATTAACCACTGCCATATGTAAAATGTCGTGAATATCTATTCCAAATATGTATTTATATAATATATTTATGTTTTCAAAGACAAGAAGCAACAGATATTATTCTAAGAAGGTTTCGAAGTAGAGGCGAGCAATATCCTGTGTGAAACACAAATAATTGTTTTAAAAGGAAATAAAGTAGCACTCAATCTTCAATCTTTTGCTTTCACTAGTCACTCGGTAAAATCACCACTGATATTTACTTTCATTTATCATTATCCACTGAAAGTCGATTTTATAATATTCTCAGAACTTAAGAAGAGTTGCGAACATTGCTTAACACGCATAATTATGTAGGTCTCCCCACACATTTATTTTAATAGGCCAATATGCGTCTTTAAAATTAAAGAGGATATTAAAGAAGCTAAACCATCTGAATGTGCGTGTAACGGATTTAAATTGTAATTTCTAACCCCATTTTGTATCAAGAATTGAAGTTAATTTAAAAGCTTTCTATGAAATGTTCAGGCGCCGTGTAAACCCATACGCATTATTGTGCACCGATGTCATTCAAAGCGCTTTCCTTGTTACATTTGAAAAATAATACGTTTTACAAAAAATTAATGCCCATATAACTTTGTAAATCTCATTTGTATTTTGAGACAAACTGCCACAATCTATTCGTAATCTGTCTCCTGTCAATGAATTTGAAAGCACTCAATACATACTTGTTCAATGTCGCATGACTGAAAAGTTATCGCACACTGCCATGTATTATTGAGTGTACATAGTGTATCATGTTTGTATGATTATTTCTAATGCGCAATTGAGCATCACTATTGTGACGGATACCCGCGCATTATAATAGAAATGTTTCATTAAAAAGATCATCGCAGCCAACGGCTTAATTGCAATCCATTTCACAAAATACAATACAATTGCACTTCAAATTCAAATAACCCAAAATATGACATAAATCACATATAGACATTTCGTAAAAATTCAGTGATCAAATTCATTTTTTTTAAGAAAGAGAGCGGGAGAGTTAGAGTGATGAGAAATAGAGATAAAGAGAAAGAAATAAAGAGAGAGAAAGATATAAAGAGAGAGAGAAAGATATAAAGAGAGAGAGAGAGAGAGAGAGATAGATAGATGGGGATGAAAGAGAGAGAGAGAGAGAGAGATAAGTGTTAATATTACAGTATTATTATCATTATTATTATTAATTCTTTTGAAATTCACATGACCATTAGTAAATACTATCACGAGATTGCCGGTGAAATTTCATTAAGAAGAGATGAGTTATTTTAAAGGTACTATGTCCCATTTGCAGGCCCCCCCCCCCCCCAAAAAAAGGTTACATTCCACCGGCATTTGAAAGATAATACTTATTTAGAACTTCCCTCAAAACGAAAGGGCTTGAAAATGTCTTTTAGTGGGAAGATAACGACCGTTAGTTGTCGAATCGACTTTAGGCATTGCAATCCTGTTAGTAAATACTAAATATTCTGATTTTCAGATCCTTGTACCGAATAGTGTACGTTTGGTGCTGCGCAAAGGTTCAATCAGTTTAATTTTGGCCATTACAAGAAGTGGGCTATTGACGTAGACAAATGCTCATGTACCCTTTCCAGTTCATTTTATGTATGTTATTACCAAAGAAAGAATGAAGTCAGTCAGTCAGTCACTCAATAGTGTCTGACAGTGAAGTCTAGAAAGTAAACGTGTTTCCTTGCATAATTCAAATACTAGGACAATGCTAACGTTTAAATTCTACAGATAGGACAAAAATGACAAGTGGCATATTCATAATCCCTGCCAAGTTCTACTATACAGAATTTGATATTGGCTGCAAATGGGACACAGAACCTTGAACTCTAAGATGTTGCCAATGAAAATGTCGTTTAATTTTTTGTTTCCATTGGAAGGCGCTCCTTTTCAGGGTGCCTGCAATTATGACTCCCTTCCAAACGACCATTAAACAATCGAAAGAGAATCTTCACGAATTATTCTCCGCCATTTCAAGAACTCAACCTACATTTTAAAGGGATATCTAATTTGGTCAACTTCCAAACTAACCATTTAAAAAAAAGGATTAGAAAGGTCCCTTGAACGTTGTTGTGTCTACGTTGTTTTAGAGAGGCTTATAGGTTCTGATAAGTATCTCCAGCGCTACCATCATCAGACATTAGAATATATGACTCTCTAGAACTCAACCTACATTTTCAAGCGACATCTAATTTGGTAACTTCCAAACTAACCATTTAATTTAAAAAAAAGATGAATTAGAAAGGTCTCTTTACCGGAACTCAGACTTCCCTTTAACGTTGTTGTGTCTACGTTGTTTTTAACACAAACGAGGATAGAGGCTTTGGTTCTGATAAGCATATCCAGCGCTACCATCACCAGACATTAAATCATATAGGATGCAAGTACACAATGTATTCAAAGTACTCAATGTAATCAAAGTAGCGATCTATTACCACCACTGTGAAATGTATATGTATATCGACTCACATTGACACCAAACCCGCATAATCATAATTTACATTTAGTGGCGTAATTAAAGGAGCAGGTTGGCACGCCCCCTTTACTATACTCTACAATATTTTACAATTCATAATACTGTGTTCACAATATTCCCTCTCATTATGCTAGTTATCTTTGTTTAAATAATCTTTGTTTCTTATGTTATTTATGTGTTCAATTTGTACTTATATAAATCTGGAAATATTTTGCAAAGTATTATGTTGTTTTTATTATGCAGGGTCCTCCTCATGGATAGCAGTTTCTTAACTAAAGAGGCAGCCCTGCACCCTTTTATGTGTGTAGCGCATGTGATCTCAAGCAAGATTGTATTTTTTCCCTTTTCATTTTAATGATGTTACAAAACTTTACAGTCTACAGCAATATTCTCTAGATAGATATAAATCATATATAATGCATGACTAAATGTACATAGTCAAACATTTCCCATCGCTTAATTCCAGTCCGTGTCTTCCACAATGAAATCGCATGACGGTATCACTCAACTTTTTTACTAACAAAATTCAACTTCCAGGTCAGGAAACGAACCTGGAAAAGGGCACTCACATGACAACACAAGATATAGTTCACGTGGTTTGGAAGACTACCGGTAGAAACGATTTCATTATAATGTTGGTTGCTTATTTCCCGGCCTAATATACACTTTCCCCATTTTTGATTTCGGCACTAACCTATACTCTATATAGCCTTGGACTCATGCAAATCCGCGGGTAGATTCATTGGCCGAATGAATCTTATTTTCCATCATAGGATTAATTAAACTCTGTCTAGACATATGGACATATAAACACACGAAGCGGCAATCCGATTGCGTTATTTACATACGTCATGACATGCGTTATGACACCATCATCGTGCATCATTAATTGCCCCATCAGCTGAGGGCAATTAGCATATACTCTATTTAGGTAACAAACTCTTTGCAGTGATCATTTTACAATCGTGTCAAACGGTATCTGTCTCACAGATGGGCGCGTCATGAACAGCGCAAGCCGTTAACGCACTCCTGCGTCACTAAAGTAACACCTCTTGCGCCATGGGAATGACTCATTCTCCTCCGCGAGCAAAATAGTCGTTACTGCAGGTGTAAGGGCGTGTCTCGCTTTATAACAAAACATTATCATTCCGCCACCGCCCCCGGGCCCCGGCCGCACCTGCTATTTACACAAAAAACCCAAAACGCACCCCTTCAATAATTCTTTGTCCGACAATGCCACAGATATCAAGCGAAGTGAAAATGGCCACATACAAACAGATCGCCTCGTTTCCATTCATAATTCATTTTGGTGTACGGCCATACGTGCATGTAAGATGTGTTGTTTATATTCCCGCTCAAGTGAACGCATTGCGTATACATCTCCCCGCTTGCCAGCTCCCCTCGAGAGAGAGATGGGTGAGGCGAAGCCCTACACATTCAAGCTCGGTCGAGCTCGGGCGCCTACGATTTCAATCATTCACCGTTTCATCTAAAAAAAACACCGACATCGAACAAGCAAGCCACCACAAGAAGGAGATCATCCACTTACCTAGAACGCATGCAGAAAGGAAAGTAACGATGCACAGAAACTTGGCCATTTTGGTTCGTTTTATCGGTTTCAGAAGAAGATAGTCAGCTCCACTGTGTCATTCGGTTGATGAGTTGAACAGGCTTATGACGATGTGAAATTCCTGAGCGTACTGTATATCGAGCGCTTTGGAGGGTTTGGACTGCTAGTCTGTTTCTCGAGTAGTAGCTTGACCTATCGGGTGCGGCTGGTTTTTCCCAAGGTGGTTTTTCCCCACCCGCTATTAAAACAAACTTTATTGTCTGACAATTTGTATCAAAATATTTATTCGGACTAGACTTGTGGGGTGGGTCTTTTTCAACTTCATTTTTGTGCATTACCGTTACCTTATCTTCATATCATAATAATCACCAACATATTCATCATCGTTTAATGATTTGACGCTATAGGTCTACGCATACAATTTAGAGTGGCCTATTTGATTAAAATGCTAATAGTTCGGTACAAGTCAAATTGTTAGGTACACATATATTTTCATCATCGTCTTCATTTTCATTATAAGTATCATCGCCATCAGCGTCATCATCATCACCAGCACCATCAGCAGCAGCATCGTCACCACCATCATCATTATGATCTCCATCATTATGATAATCATCATCATCATCATCATCATCATCATCTCATCATCATCACTATCATCACCACCATCATCTCTTTCATCACCACCATCACCACCATCATCATCATCATCATCATCTTTATGAATAGAAATCATGAAGCAAAGAGGCAAAATGTTTTAGTACCATGACGTCAGATTTATTTCAACCCTCCATGTTAGTTGGAAAGTTGCCCAAAACAGAACTATTCCATTTCTTGATATGTGGCGATTGCATCTTACGGAGAAAGCGTAACACACCCTATATATAGCTCTTATTATGACGGGAGGGGGAATCCCCGTGTTACGCCTCCCTCATTAGTCTTGTATCATCAGACATTATTCTGACAACTTGGCTGGGAAATTTAAATGGTTATTCGACTCGATCGTAACAGATAATTTGTTATTGTATTGAATTCCCAAGTACTGTAAGAATATAACCATTTCACATTATTTTTACACTTATTAAAACAAAAATAACCCCCTCCATTGCTACCCCTCCCCCCTCCCCCCCCCCCCCTCTCTCTCTCTCTCTCTCTCTCTCTCTCTTTATCTCATCCCTACCTCCCTCCAGCCCCCTCTCTCTCTCTCTCTTCCTCTCTTACTTTTGTTCATTCGCTCACTTTCACAAAAAAGACGTATACCGAAAATTATGCTGAACAATAATTGTTCAAATAGATTCGATTGTCCCTAGAATAGTTGTCATTTTTTATCACAAATCTTCAGCATATACCTTCACAATTCTATTATACATTGTTATGTATTTTCACGTTGTACTGTTGAATTTGCTTATCTAGCACAACTTCCCTTTCAGCGTCAATCATTGTTATCGAGAGAAGGAAAAAGGCAACCAAATCATTTCACGCTATACCCGACATGATATCAATTGAAAATGCATCTTCAAGACGAGATGTCCACAATCCACAACTCCATCTTCATCCGTTGGTAGAGCAGTGGTCTCGTCATCCGGTGACCCGAGTTCGAAACCACGGCGATGCGCTAGTGCCCTTTGGTATATAAGGCAATAATCCTCATTACCAGGTCTCTCGGAGAGGACCTAAAGCCGTCGGTGCTTAGACGATTTCACGTGATGCATTGTGGGAAAAAGTCGACAAAAATATCAGCTGTGGCATATACGCTCATGGACTTGGGCCCCTTGCATAAACAGTTGCGTTTAATCGCAACTCAAAACTTAAACGCAAGTCCCAAATACGCGATCCTGAGTGGTTGAAAATCGAGTTGCGTTTAAGTTTTTGAGTTGCGTTTAAACGCAACTTTTAAAGCAAGAGGGCCCAGGGCATTTAATCAGCAGTTATGTTGGTGAAGGTTTGAAAAGCTTATTAGGGGTAATGAAAATAGCGCTACTAACAGAACTTTCAATCTCGTGAGGGAATTTACACAGTTCATCTCGCGCGTTAGATATGATGCGCTGCACAAGCTGAAAGATGTCGACCAGAGAGCTGAACAATTGGCCTTTCCTTGCTTCACCGGTGGGAGTCCTGCCAATTGAGAATCAAACATTTTCGTTTCTTTTTCCATCTACAGATTCCAAGTTCATTGTGTTGAACTCTGGGCCTTTACACATAATGCAAATCACATAATACTCCCGTTCAACACTTCTATTCATTATTACCAATATTTGTTTAAGTCTTTTGAAACGCTTTTCAGAAACAGATTTGCGACAGCTGTTGATGCACGCTGCTTTTTCTTTTCTTTCGAATTTAATGCAGCTCGCATCAAGAACAAAATTTTAATTTCTAGGTTACCAAGGGGAATTAAATTTAAGTACATACCGCAAGGCTAATAACTTGAGCTAGTTCACTTGCAAGAATTGCATTTTATACTACAATATTTTCATTTCGATAACAAAACAAAATATGATCAATATACAGGGGATGTCACATGACATTATTATTTCATTTATGCTTATTCTTCATTATATTATCATTTCGTTGCTGGTGTTAATAGGCCATTTTCGTCATGTAATCAAATTTAATGAACAAACCTTTGTTAAGTGCCTCGTTACAAATTATTCCATTCACCTGGTGCGAATAAATATTTGCATTTCAATAATAAAAATGTTACTTGCATACATTACATGTTGCTAGGTAGGACAAGCCGTAGGTTTGATTAATGTATGTTATTCGCATTCTGACTTTTGAAATACAATTATTCATGACAAATGAATGACAAATTTTGTAACATGGCACTTTACAAAGATGTATTCATTAAATTTGATTACATTGCGAAATTGTCTATTAGCATTACTGTGTTATTATTGTAGATAAAAAGCAATTTAAGTTAATATCGACTGTCACCATAGTGCTGTCACAACCGTCTAGCGGTGTAGACACCGATATAGTCTGCAGGCACAGACCCTTTTTTCACAAATTGAACAATTCAATAATGAGTAATAGTCTAAATAGACCATTAAAACACTGCCTTTCTCGCGGCACCAGATAAATATATATTCTGTGACTTAAAATAACCACCCCCTTTCTAAAATTTAAAATGCAACTCAGGGCAGTGTATAGTAGTATGTCGACATGAGTCTGGACTCTGATGGTGATAACTAAAAGGGGTTTGTATCTCACAGACTATCATTGAGGTAGAAGTCAAATAGGAGCTCGTATGGCGATATATTAGTGTCCGTTTTCATTTCCCTGAGTTGTTTATTGACCTTGACCCGAGGACTAGTCTCCCAGTCTCTGCATTGAGACCCGGTGCAGTTGTTACTGATTTCTGTCTTTTCCAACCAGTCCTTTGTAATAAATTGAGAAATAAAACAGAAAAATAACAGAAACAGAATATACACGCAAAATTTGAAGAATTGATATTTTGTCTGAATATTGTATATTCATAATCTTAGATTTTTATATAAATAATTAATCAAAATTCACATTTTTCATGATTTAACTGAACAAATTACTCTATATTAGTGCATCCACACAAAAACATATCAGTGTCAATATAACTTGGATGCTGGTGTGAGGAAATAAGATTCTTAGGAGGAAAATGGGAATTTTGTATTATCAATATAAAGAAAGCAATTGGATAGTGAGGCCATGACGTCACAGACTCATGAGTGAGCTGCCAATTTGCCTTGTGATTTTCAAAGATTTTGATGTCATTGAAAATAAATAACTTTCGTACTAGTTATCGGATTTCGCTCAAACTTTTTTAGATTAGTCTGTCTGATTTTTCTGCTTCTATTAAAAGTAAGTTATTTTTGGAGTGGACTTGCCAATTAAGTCTTTAACCAAAAAAGGGGGTAATACCAACCTTGCTCGGGTGATAATTGCCCCACGGTGAATCATACATAATTATAATAGCTGAATCCCGCACTTCAACGCTTGACCAAATAATATACGTAACTAGGCCAAGGAGGATCCTTGACTTGGCTACCTATATCCTTAGCCCTATACTTAACCCAAAACCCAATCAGCCACTTCAGAGAAAGTGCTGGTACAAATGACCCTGAAATATCCACATATCTTTTACACGTGGATACGTCCTACTTTGTTCATTTTAGAAGAAGTACCAGTACTGCCAAAGTGATGGAGGTTCTTCCTGAATACCTTGACGAATAATTCCCACCTGCATGAGTATCATAATAATATACCGCCAGTGCATAAAATACATGAATCATGATTACATAACTTTCATGATATCGTATCCATATAGAGCAGTCGTCCCGATGGGTTTTGCAGTTATGTACAAATTAAACTTTTATCTATCCATGCGCACTATAGTATCTCCGACGTGTCGCGCTGGTAGTACAAAATATGTCTATCCATGTTGAAACCTTATATTCCAGTCATCAGGGACTTTTAGATAGAGTGGACGAGAACGGCGTGAACGGCCACTGATCATGCGTGTCCATGACAAGCTGTTTTTAACATTTATTCCTATTTCTTGATATCAAAAATTCAATTCTTGATATCAAAAATTCAATTCTTGATATCAAGAAATGATTTTCTGTTGTAAAGCAATGGTATTTTTGATATCAAGAAATAGCAATCAATGTTTAAACGGCTTGCCATGGACACGCATGATCAGTAGCCGTTCACGCCGTTCTCGTTCACTCAATCTAAAAGTCCCTATTAGCCTACCAACAATACTAAGACCAGACCTAAATATTAACCAAGTCCAGAATCTGGCCGGTTGTTATTGTATCTCTATATACTATTCTCTACACTATCTTTAAAATTCGAGAAATTTGGGACTCACGCCATCTTCGGCTTCCAGCAAGTAGGGGGAGACCACGGTGGTAGAGATTATTAAATATTAAATCGGTCAGATTCTGAAGAGGAACAAAAACAACGGTCTCACCAAAATAAAGTACAATTCTAAATATGTTTTTCCAAATAATGAAATAATCGATAAACATGTATTTAGATTGTGTGTGTTCAAGAATGATCGGAAAGCATTTTACTACATCTGTGGAAGTAATTAATCACTTGGTTTCCTCCTAGTTAAAGTTTTAATCTATATTCGTCATAATTCCTCTCTTCAAGTTGAAGTAATATTTATTGTTTAAAGGGTGTCTGAGATTAATTACAAGGAAATACAATAAGGTTACTTTCGTCTTCTCGACGTCTAATAATAATGCTATTCAATTTCAAAGCATTTCCGGTGTAGAAGTTGTGACATGTGATGCCAAACAATTTCCTGAGTTTCCTTGTTATGACAAATAAAAATTAAGCGAAAATGTAATGGGTAAAGGCTTCGGCTCGCTCGGGATTAAAGGGAAATCTAATCTTGATAGCAAGCTCTAGGAGAGAGTAGAACCATCAGAGAAGCACATTGGTGATAACTTTGTATGAAATCGGGGGGAAATGAAAAAGTTATGAATTTGTGAAAGTTGAAATAACCCTATAGGCATGGACTCTTTAAATTGGCTAAATCGGTATTGTCTCTGGAAAGAATTTGTTTCAACACAGAAAATGACAATTTTTTTTCGAAACTGTATGAATTGGGGTATTTTTTAGGAGGACCTGTTGTAAAACACTCTCCATACTCTATTTTGAGTAGTGCCCCAAAGGTTAAGGCACTTAGGAGAAAAACAGAAGTTAGTCATATTTTTGTACACACAAACGGGAGAGTTATCCGCGACTACGTCATAATCCACTGACCAAACTGCCAATATGAGATTCGCATATACAGACTAATGGATCTCACTTTTTGAAAGATTGGTAATTATCCTATTATTGCTCCGATTCATTTTCAAACTTTCGCAATTCTGTTTCATTTACATTTTCTGCTTTCATATAAATTAACTTATTACAATGACTGGATTGCCCTTTAAAATATTAAAGCCCCTTCATACTTCACCAGTAGAAGAACTATCCAGAGAGTCGTCACAGGACAAAATTACGACGAGGTATATCAGCCATGAATACGATATTATATCAAATTTTATTCTTCAATATTGATTCAACACGGACACTTATTTAAAATCACAATTATAATTTCGCAAACATCTGCTTATAACACGAGCATCTGTACGTATTCTTCTCCTGTAAAGCCCTTTGTATTATAATATTCAAAATTCATAACCAAATATTTCAATAACCATCTGCTGAGCTTAGCTCATAACGTTCATGAACACAACTCGGAAATTAACAGCTGAATTACGGTAACAAAAATTAAAGTGTAATAACGTTTATTGTGTATATATTGCTTTCCCCTTTGGTAACCTTCAAAACAATATTCTATTTCATTATTTTGTTCAAATACTTGTCATATTTGTACTAGTTTCAGTTATTTGTTAATAATTATGCCAATTTTTATGATAACCATTTTTACATTATGATTTAATAATTCGAATTAAATCCGGAACACCCCCCCCCCCCCCCCCACTGTATATCGTAAATTAAAATAAGATCAATTAACACTCACTTTAAAACAAGTATATACAAAATATCACCACCAGGTTACTAAGGTGTATATTTACATCCCTTCCAAGACGCTAACCGTCCCCTGTACATGAAAGAAAAAGTTTATCGCAGTTTACCAGAGATTTAATTTGATATGCGCCCTCTTTGTTTACAAGCATTATCGTCATCCTCGAGATTTAGCGGCCGTTTGACAGGTTCGTTGCAAATCGCCAGTAAACAAAATTGTTATTCAACTGAATAAACTTATTCTTCTACTTAAAAAGTTTATTCAATATATACATACATGAAATTTTGAGTTTTTAATGTATTAATCCTTCCGTAACATTGAATAAAGTGAATATATAGAAATTCGACTTAGGGCCTTCAAATTTGGAATTTGAGAGTCATATCTTTATTATATTATTTTGTTTACTCTTATTTGTTGATTTTTTGTCAATTTGTCGGTACTTTGTTCCCCCACCCCTTTCAAAATTGTCCAGCGCCGCCAAGCTTGAGGGCGCTCTAACTTCCCAGTAGCCAGAGCCATCCTATACACAGAGTTTGGCCAACTTGGTTTCACTTGGGCACAACACCAGTACTCGCCATACTGTTGTGCCCAACTCGACCTGGGTTGGTAAAACTCTCCTAATCAATAGCTCTGGCAGTAGCTGCCCCTCTGTATGATATCTCGGTGTATAGTGTTCAGCACTCTGGCCTTAGTGTAAGTCGGTGTTAGACATAGTTGCCGCCAGCTCTATCGCTCACGCTTTTCCACATCGTATATGCGAGCCCAATACCAAAGATCTGTAAATTAAAGATTAACAAACAATAAAAAGCGATTTAATACAATAATTTTACAGAGATGAGAGGAACATTGAACGCGATCCACTTTTGGCGATTTCGAACAGGCACATCTTTCCTTTTTAAACACATCTAATCAACCTTGAAAAAGATCTTCCTTTTTTTTCTTCTTTTTTTCTCACTCTTTTTCTTAAAACATACGTACCTATATATATTTCCTTGGTTTAAAGCCCGTCTGCACTAGTTTGACCAGGGGGATTAGACCCCACTGCAAGGTCACTGACATGTGGTTATCTCACCAAATCAGCTCTCAATTAACATAAGAAAAAGGGGATCATGGGGGACCAATGGTCACCGATGAGGCTTTTTTTTTTCTATATAGAGGGAGCAAGTAGCTACAAGTAGGACAGTGAGACTTTAACGCAATCCACTTTTGGCGATTTCTATCAGGCACATCTAATCAACCTTGAAAAATATAGGCCTACGTATATTTCCTTGATTGCATGTTTTCACAGAAAATACAATTATCATGATCTGTCAAGTAAATGTGACAATGCACATCAATTTTGTGATTTACATTATCTTGGTTTGGTTTGGTTTGGTTAGGTTAGTGGTGGTTATTTTACCGGAATGCTAAAGAGCTAAAATGCTTATTGGTAGGCAACCAGAGGACCAACAGATTTAAGTAACAAATAGTAACAGAACTTTCATGCAGAAGAAAAGAGGATAATATGAAAACTAAAGAAGAAGAAAAGGAAAACGTAGACAAAAGAATACCCACAAAAAAGGAAAATGGTAAGAAGAAACGGGAGGAGAGAAGGAGAAAAGAGAGATGAAAGAGAAGAAGGTTTTATTTTTCACAAATTTACCTGAAAGATAGCGACGATTATACAAGCAATCCCAACGACGTGAGCCTTCGATTCCAACTCCATTATGATGGCACCTTTACATCCCTGGAATAACAAGAAATGATTGTTGCCATGGTAACTGTTTTTCCTTCATCACCTTGGCAACCGATTTCACGATGGCGTTTCCATGGCAACGCTTACCTCACGGCGATTGACTAAACACCGTGGGACTACTACGCTGCACGATGACCTATTTTCAATACAATAATTTCAATCATAATGGATTTTTTTTGATATTTTTTTTTATTGTCCTTGGATCTTTTGCAAAAAAGAGAGGTTTTCAGTCCGATTCTGTATTGCAGACTTTGTTTACAAGTGTGTATTTGCGTTTTTACAAACGTGTATCAATCACATATGATTATTTACGTCCGAGGACCGACCTTTAACGTCACCATCCAACGATTTTTATTGGCCCTTTTATATTCTATTAAACCCAACGATTTTTTTTTTCTTTTTGTAAATTTTAATCTTTATTCTAACCGCTCGAATGTACATTTTTTGTGACAACAGTTTTAAAAATCAACTAAATTTACAGTAGTTAATCACGGCAGCACATGACCACATTACTCAATTTCGGCTTCGCATGTGCCATGTGTACGTTGCATGATGGGATTGTTCCTGAGAAGAAGACGAGTTTGCCTCTCATTCGAACGATTGTCGGGAAGTTTTTGACAAATTTAAAATGTCATCGATGAACACAGATGTGTTGCCTCAAAGTTACGTATTTTGCTCTTATGTGAGTATAATCACAAAGATGCACCCCCCCCCCCCCCCCCCATTATTCAGACTTCACAAAGTATAAAGCTGCCTGGGTACTGATTAGTAAACTATGATCATCATAAAAAAAGTATAGGCTCAACACTGAATATCGTGGATCCGGAATTTTTAATACAGAGCGCAAATCTCTTAATCTGCCTTTGCAAGGTGACCATTGACCTTTAGGGTGAACCCATAATTTGAAAGCTAAAGGGGGAGGGACAAAAATATTCCAGAATTATATTCATGATTTGTTTCAATTTTATTTCAATGTTTAAACAAAATTGCCTTGGGCTGAAATCTTAAAGGGGCACATTTGGCAATTGTATACTTAAAGGTAATACAAAGTTTTGGTATGGGGTCATGAACTTGGTTCGAATGAACATATTGGAAGCATATACGATCCTACAATATTCAGTGATCGTTGTCGCGGTCGAAATCGACTCTAAAGTTCTAAAATTGTAAATAATAAACACTTTATGTTGAATAGCTCCCTCTCAAGGTCAAGATATTAATTAAGCTATAAAACAATGTTTAAAGACTAAAATCGACCGATTAGCTATTCTCGATCGGAAATTATATACCACAACTACATACTCCGAGATTTTTATGGTCGCAGCTACCATTGTACGGCCGTAGGAGCTATTTGAAATTTATCAAAATTTACCGGGAGCACCGGTAAATCTTTATATTCAATTTTTCTCGAAAGCAGAAGTGTTTTAGGGGCTCAAATTTCTGGTGTTTTTAAAACATCCACAGGGGCATCCAAATATATCAAAATTGTTAAGAATTACTATCCACCCATTTTTCAAAATTTCCCAAAACTTTGTAATACCTTTAATGTATGCGAATTCTGGTGTTAAAATGGGCACGAGGCCGTTGCTGCCCCCCCCCCCCCCCCCCCGGCCCCAAATCTGTAAGTAGGCTACATACCCGGATGAATTTCTCCGAATTGACGTCTTTCCCGCATCCCGGAGCGGCGAAGAGGCAGCATGAATCAGGGGTCTGTCGGGGCAGGAACATGCCGTTCGCTGTATTAGCCCAGTCCGTGTCATTGAAAACTCCGCAACATGCAAGCTAGACAGTCGAGAGAAAAAAGGAAAATAAAATTACTCGTTTGGTTAAGTTTGTTTGTACAAACTACAAATTCAAATTCAAATTCGAACTGTATTGATTCAATCCAAACAGATAGGATCATTCTCAATTTGTTTACATTGGATAACAAATTTCAAGTTATTTTGTAACATAGATGATTGAGTGTAAGAGTAAAAACAATAACCAGGAATGACACAATTTACCATACTATTGCATGATTTTGATTGTATAGGCGTACGAAGCAGATGGGGGGGGGGGCTGCAGGAACCTCCCAGCATTTCCTTGTTTTATTATTCGGTATGTAGGGGTGTTCCTTAATATTAAATTATCATCACTGAATTTTCTTATTTTTTTAAATCAATTTTGTCTTTTTGTTGCTTGCAGGACATCTATTCCTGAAGCTGAAGTAATCGATAAAATGTACCGAAGGGAGAGAAATACAATAAACAGAAGATATTTTTGTGAAAATATAACATAAGTCATGTTTAATGTACTAAATAGTAGTAAATAGTTTGTTTCTTGTATTTTTCGGCTCTCATGAATTTTACCCCTTTTTTATGTTATTTCTTATCTGTTACATGTTATCGTTTGTATATATTTCACATGTTATATACATGTTTAATGGAGATTCTGAACAAAAATATTCAAATATTTCCAAATGGCAATACTCACTGTGCTCTGAAGTTTGTCCCATGCTTTTGTCAGACCGCCCTCTCCCGGTGTGTTATATTTAGCTAAGCCCCCAGCTCTCATCTCGTTGGCGACATACTTGGCCACTTGCCAGCGGTAAACGAAGCCGAGACCTCCGGCGGTCACTTCAAGGATGAAAACAAGGACCATGAAGACGAAATACTGGAAAAATGAATAACGGGGAAAAGGATAAACATTGATTATGTACAGTATTGGGTCGAGTGCCACCATGTTTAATCTAATTCTTGATAAAGTGACTGATTGAATACACTTGTTCCGCTTTTAAAGAATTAATTTCATAATGATTATTTCTTTAACATAAAAATAGTAATTTAAAAAAGTGAAAAAACACTAATAATAATAATAATAATAATATCAACACAGTATAAGAAGAAGAGGAGGAGGAGAAGGAGGATAACAAGAATAAGAATGGATGATGATTATTAAGATGAAGTGTATCGTTTTATCGTTTATCACTTTACAATATTTATTGGTCAAAAATGCAAAAGACAAAATAGCCCAGAACAACCTCAAATTGCTGATGGATTAAGGGCATGAAAATTCACATTTAACAAATCTTTCGAGAAAAAAAACAATATAAAGAACACAAAAATAATAAAATAACAACATTAATAATCTCAACAATGATAATATTATATCCCATTCTTATTGGCCCTATATTATAACACCCCACTTCCTTAAAAACGAATGTTTTTAGTGGCGCCGTAACCCGGCAGTGATTATGACACTATAGCAACGTTGAGGAAGGGCATGCTGGTAATTAATGTCATGGACGGTCTAACTAACTACTTAACCAAATGAATAAATAATCAACTGACCTACTAACTAACCCATTACTAAATACTGGTAATAAATTGGTTAACTCACCAACTAACTATCTAAGTAACTTAATTACTAACCAACTGAATAACCAACCAGTTAACTACTAACTAACCAACGACTAAATAATAAACTGGTTAACTAACCTACTACTACCTAACCGAGTAACTAACTAACCAACTAACCAACTAACTAAGTATCTTGATTACTAACCAACCAACTACTAACTAACCAACTAAATTACTAAACATCTAACTAACCTACTACTACCTAACCACTAACCAACTAGCTAAGTAACTTACTTACTAACCAACTAAATAACCAACCAACTACTAACTAACCAACTAAATTACTAAACACCTAGCTAACCTACTACTACCTAACCACTAACCAACTAGCTAAGTAACTTACTTACTAATCAACTAAATAACCAACCAACTACTAACTAACCAACTAATTTACTAAACACCTAACTAACTAACTAACTGACTAAAAGACTAATTAACTAAAATGGTAGTCATACCGTAAGCAGCAAACACTGGTGTTCCTTGATGGCCCCGTATCCACCGATGAAAGAAACGACCAGGATGACGATCCCGGCGAAGATCATGACATTAGCCACGTTGAGAAAGGGCATGCTGGGAAGTAACGTCATGAACGGTCCCTCCTTGATGTGAAGGTGCGCCCCCGCGCCAAGAATGGCTCCTCCCACGACCTAGAGTGCGAAGGCGAGGAGAAATGATTTTCAAAATTATTATGCAGGCCAGAGACAATGACGGATCCAGGATTAAAGAAAGATCTAACCCTGGTAATGAATTTATTTGTATGAAAGTAAACAAATCCGAGAATGACGAAAGTTTGAAATAAAACGGACCAACAATGAGAAAGTTGTGAATGCCTGAAATATGAGATCATTAAATAACGCTATTCTGAAATTGGAAATTTGTTCAGTGGATTTTGATAAAGTTTTTGACAACTCTTCCGAGTGGCGTTTACAAAATTAGCATTACTTTCTTTTTTAGTGCCTTCTACCAGTGAGCACCTCGAAAAAATAAATTATGGATAGCATATTTGTATAAGTTCTATAAAATGAAAGACTCTCATAAGTAATACATTTGAAAAATTTCATGCTTATAATCATTGTATTTACAAATGGGATTGCTGTCCGGCAGTGCGGCATGGTGACCCGACTCATTCCAATTTGAAGTTGCCGTACGTAAAGTGATTACAATTTTGTATAATTCATATCTTTCTTATTCTTTATCCGATTTAATTCAAATTTTAAGCAGTCTGCTTTCTTTTAAAGTTACGAGTTTTGAGGAGAGCTGAAAAATAATTTGTGAGCGTTATCATTGTTATTATGCAAGTGTGGAAAAATGAGGCCCGAATGTTATGCCACATTTTTGTGTAGTCCCATACTCCCATACTCATCTTTTTGTGTACAGTGCTTGCTACTTTACCAAGACTGGGCCAAATTTCTTATCATTTTGATGACTCCAGAACCTTGCAGTACACACCATTACTTATATGCTACATGAACATTTTTTTCTGATGGATTCCACACCGTTTATTTCATAATGCACTCGCATGACGAGAACTCAACTTTATCCGATTTAATTTGGATTTTTATTTGAAGTTTTAACCATGCAGTAGCACACGTTGGTAAAAAGAAAAAAATGCAAAATAAAGTTGATGATTCATACAGAGATTGCATAATTCAATAAGAGAAGTTAAAAATTTCAAAATACAAGGATAGAACGAACAAAACAGAAAACAATAAACCTATACATATTCTTGTCTGGGTTTCCTTTAAATGGTATTAGTTGTCAGATATGTAACTTTGTAGTGTGATTAAACTGTCAATTCCTATAATCCTTTTTTAAAATTATGAAACAATATGTCTTTTATGTAAATTTTGTTTTCTGTATTGTATCTGCATGTGAAATGTGAAACCAATAAACTCAATAAAACAAAACTCAATAAACAATACATTACATGTCATTAGGATTCAAAATAAAATAATTTACTTACGAAGAAAAGCACATTGAAGGCAATCAGCATGTATTTGGTGCAATTAATATTTCCTCTCATCTTGAAATCTTGTTCCTGCGACTGGCCTGGAGGAGTGGAATGGGGATGGGAGAGGGGTGACGTAAGGAGAGGGGTGGGTAGAAGAGGGGTGATTAGGAATAAGGGTGGGGTAGGAAGGAGGTGTGGTTAGAAAAAGGTGGGATAAGAATAAGGGTGGGTAGGAATAAGGGCGGGGTGGGAATGAGGGTGGGGTAGGAATAAGGGTGGGGTAGGAATAAGGGCGGGGTGGGAATGAGGGTGGGAAGGAATAAAGGCGGGGTGGGAATGAGGGTGGGGTAGCAATAAGGGTGGGGTAGGAATAAAGGTGGGGTAGGAATAAGGGCGGGTGGGAATGAGGGTGGGGTGGGAATGAGGGTGGGGTAGGAATAAGGGTGGGGTAGGAATAAGGGTGGGTAGGAATAAGGGCGGGGTGGGAATGAGGGTGGGGTAGGAATAAGGGTGGGTAGGAATAAGGGGTGGGTTAGGAAAAGGGGTGGGGTAGGAATGGAGCGTGTATGAGCGTTGATGGAGTTAGAAGAAGGAGGGGGTATAGAAGAAGGTTGGGAAGTATATAGGGGGTGGGTAGGAAAGTGATGAATCGGAGTTGGGGAAGGCGGAATTGAACCAAGGAAAAAACAGAATAAAAATGTCGTATAGCAATACCTTCTTTTGACTTTTAAGAAAGACGTCTTTAAGGTGTAATATTGGACGAGTTGTTTACTCAACAGTAGACCTACTATTTGGGGAAGAGTCGAATTAATCTTAACAATTAATATTACCGGGAACTGTTCAATTTGTGCGTGTGCGTGTGTATGCGTGTCAAACGCTTACCATCATCAATCACAAGTATTAACACGAGGAATCGCGCTGGCCATAAATTATATATATCCATTCTCTATTTAAGAGGATGTGAGAGATTAACCTTCTATATCCTCACCTAATCGTAATTGATCTGTTCTTGTTGTTTGTCATCAACATCCGACGGTTATGCCAAGATCAGACAATTATAATTATACGTTAATGTCACCAACCTTTCCTGCTAACATTATTCTATATTTTCAGTAGAGACGTTTAATGTGGATGGCTTTATGGTGTCCAGTTTCAATAATGTGAATTAATGTCAAGGATAAAAAGCCAGCGAAGTGCCGGTCAAGCGGGACCTCTGACAAAAAAAGACCGACAACCAATTATACCGATTTTTTCTTCTTCAATTCAAATCTTCCCTCCATTCTTTCTTTATCGGTTTCGTGTGTTGTCAGTCTTGTGAACTTTATTTTGTGTATATTGTATGTATTGTGCAATTGCTTACAAAAATTATGATATCCTGTCCAGGTATCAACAGATCATGAGGGACTTTTCGATTTGCACGTCGACCGTAGCAGTCCACTATGTCGACGTGCAAATCGAAGAGTCCTAATTGTTGACAGCTGGTCACACTGTAAGGAGAGTCCAAAAAAGACCAATGGTGCTCAGATGATGTTATGTATCACTAATCTATTAAAAACAATAGTACCTAAACATTCCTAACACAATCATGTAACATAAAAAATAAGTGAAGTGCACAAGGTATTATGGTATGGAGGTGTACACTTATAGAGGAGAAAGGCAACGTTGCATGAAACCCCGGCATGAAACAATCAAAACAAAAATTAGATCTAACTGTAGATCTTAATCTAGATCTTCTGCAACTTTCTTCCTCTCTATATAATTATGTATTTCTTTGTTTTGTGTCGGTTTACTGGGATATGACCTAGCCCGTTTGTAATTTTGATGTGTTGAGATTAAGGTTTCACGAAAGAAAATTCAAAATAGCAAGTTAAGTGAGAAGATAATAAGATCTACAGTAATGTTGGTGGTTGGTTTTATTTTGATTATTATTTTAAGAAAAAGGATCGACTCTTAGAATCAGCCAGAAATTTCCGGGAAATTAAATTTCAAGCGGATACGAGAGATTATCTTTTTCAGCCGTTGTAGGAAAGGGGATGGGAGAGTTCCCACCATCTACATTGATCCTTTGTCTATTTTTTCTCTCCTTTCCACTTGACTAAGACTATGAATTGATACATAACAGAGACAACCTTTGAATTAGTTTCCTGACACTAAAAAGGGGGCTTATTTGTATCCAACATAATATATATCTATATATATATATATATATATGTTTTTTGTTGGTAGTAAGTGTATTGTTTTTATGGGTGATTTACAGGCTCACACGGTTCACAAGAGTCTTCTAGTTGATGAACTATAAGAAAAGTAATATGTTTGTTCGTTACTGCTATTCTATCTATAATATACATTATTGTTCTGTTTTCATTATTCCTTTGTTATTAATTTACTGATATTCCCATCGTTACATTCCGTCCTTGTTTTCACGAAGTGACGGTAGTGAGGAAAATCGTATTTCGAGCAAAAGATTGGATGGAGATATCAGTTACTGTGAATTTAAATGAAAACAAAACAAATACATTGTGCGGCATAAGCCAGTAAATTCTGGCATGGCTACAAAACATGCACATTCTACTAGTACTAGCCCCATCCATAACAAACGATGTTAGCACCCCCTCCCAAACTTTCCACACCCCAACTCTCATCGCGTATCGGAAGCTTGAAATTGAAATGAATTTCCGCTGGGCTGTTTACAGCGGTCTCAAGGCGAAACCCGCCCCATGAGTCACCCCAAGCAAAGAACATCTAATGTCACGTCTAACACATGATTTATGCCCTAAAAAAAATATTTTCTAAGTTCTAGAATCCTCTTTTACAGTAAAAAAAAAAAAAAAAAAAAAAAAAAAAAAACCTGTGTACAAAGACCGCCGAAAGGAAAGAGGTCTTTAAGGGCAGGTTGTCTATTTGTGTAGGCTACTTTTAAATAATAAGAATCAAAGTTTAAGGGACGAAAGGATATGATCATTCAAACGTGGTCGCTAAAATATCCCGCCCTCCCCCATAGATGAATATTCGTATATAGTTGTTATTGACATACAAGGCTCTTTCATTGACTGTAAAGACTACCCTGTATAAATAACACATCATAAATAAATTATTTAATAAGCCCATCAATTTTGACCTTTTAAGATCACGCTGATCAAGGTTTCACCCTTCTTTTTTGTAAAAATATATTCTATAAAACAATCAATTAAGTTTTTGCTTGATATTTCTCTTTTCTCCAAAGTGCTCCATTTTCTTCTATTTTTTTCAAGATTCTCTGCATATTCACCCTCTCTTTTCCACTTAAAACATACTGAAAATTCGGTGTTGCTTCAGTTAACGTTAATCAACCTGAACGGGTTGCTTGATAACTATTATGAAGCAAAACGATATTCAACACACTTTTAAATCAAACTCAAATAAATTTATGTTTGCATCAGAAGATGGAAGCAGACAAAGATAATATATATTTATTTATCATTCTCATCATTATTATTATTATCATTTCAAGGCCTACTACTACTACTACTACTACTACTGCTGCTGCTGCTGCTGCTGCTCCTACGACTAGGCCTACTACTATTAACGTGACCACTACTACTACGTCTAGTACTAGGCCTACATCTAATACTAATGGTACTTCTACTTTTCATTTTCATCAATTTCGTCATCATCATAAAAATAACAATAATAGTTACGATACATTTTTATTTAGCGCATTTCAGAACTGACAGAACTCTCAATGCGCTTAACATCCAAGATAATACCTTATTCGTATTCATCACCATCATCAAAATACAAGTTTACATCATCTTTTGTGTTACTCAGCATCTGCAAGATTGAACTATGACAAAACAAATGACCCACAGCATAATGATCTAATATAACTAGGCACTACTTACCGATGAGTGAATCCTGAAACTGTGTACTTCTTCACTCACTTATTTGATGTTTTGTTTTACTAAGTTAAACAGCCGTAACCTCGTGAGTTAGTCCTCATTATCGTCAGCCTGTAATATCATGTACTACAAGTGGAACATAGTTCATTAAACAGAAGTTGTCTAGAGAATAATCAAGTCCGGATGTTACGTACGGCAAAGTGTGATCTTTCTAATTTAGTCGATTTAGAGATGGTGGAGATTGAAGACAGCCGTTTGTATCCTGGATTACAGCGCATGAATGCGCTGTGCGGTGCGCAGGAAACGCCGGGACGGACAAAACGACTGGAAATGCGTCAACCCTCACAAGAAGTCCTCATTAAAGTTATGTTGGTGAACCACTGATCCCTACGAAATAAGAAAATCGTAAAGATCAGTGTAGTAAGCAGGGCGTATAAATATGGCGATTGAAATCTTGGCAAGGCCGAAAGAAAATCCCCTGTGCTACTGAAACAGATTAACAAAGTGGCAAGTAAATATGAGAATGCAGTGAGAAGATAAATTATAAAGCAAAGAGAAAGAAATTCAGATCGAAGTAAAGCAGTACATAATAATAAGCCTTTAACTTGAAAGATGAAAGGGAAAACACGATCGTAAAGTCTTTCGAGAAATCAACTTAAAACCTATTGTAAAACCCGATTGCATATCCCATGAAAATCATGTTCGATAAGTCAATGTATAACGTTTGGAAATTTCAGGGGGTCATTAGCAAGGTTTTTTTTAGTCTTGGGGTGAAATTTTTCTCGCGATCGTGTTTATAAATATTCCTTGAAATTGGATGGTAATTGTTGAAATGCCCCGTCGCTTTGTTCGCTCGCGTAGCTTTGCACCCCCTTGTAGGATGATATAATGTAGCCATCTGATTGGTCGAAATTGGAGTCGTGATTTTCGGACATTCCCGTAAAGAAACGAACAATGCCAGTATTAGTTTATGGGTGAGATTCCCGAAAGATTCCGGGGACCGGGAAAATAGTTAAATTTTGATGAGATCCCCGTTGGTTTACGTGTTAAAAGTTGCTTTGTGGAGCGCGACACACCATACAGTGCAGTGTGTGTGCCATTCCCAAATGATTGTAATATTCACTAGTCATCTTTCCAGCGAAGATTAACAGACGGTGTCTCAGATTTTCTGTGATGTTTTAACCAATCTTTACTCCGGGTCTTTAATCAAGAAAAGGATAAGGTAAGAATTCTTGGTAGATTTTTTGTGTGAATTCGGTATATAAAAGATATATTAACTGCTTTACCTCAATACTCGAGGCCCGGCTGTTTCTATACCGGCTATCGGGGATGTTGCATTTTTTCATGATTCCCTAGGGCCTGTAGAGACAGCCAGGCCTCTCATAGCATTCGATATATATATATATATATATATATACTATTTTTTATAATACAAATGATGATGTATATCCTATTCAAATGATTGGTTAAGCGCAGTCACGTGATCATAAACTTGGGTTTCCTCAAGCTTAATCGGTCATTAGCATTTTGATGAAGCGGGTCCGAATCAAACGATTGGTTGAGAGCATAAACGTGACCAGGCATTTATTTCGCCTAACATATAATTTTACTAATGACCGGTCATTAGTATAATCATGTTATAAACCATCATTTTTTTTTTTTTTTTAAATCATCTTATAAACCAAATAAAACACATAATTTTGTTCGGGCATTAGTAAAATTACCCACACTCGGTACCTTCGAATCAGTCCAAACACATGTGTGGTAATTTTGGGCATAATTCTTATTGACGCCCTCATTGGTGCAGGCTATTTGTGCACTATAATGATTAATGTTAATTCTTCTTCTTCCGTTACTCTTCAAAGGGATATGCGCCTATCATGAAGATATAAAGTTTTTTTTTATGCAGGCACACTTAAACGCCGGCTTACATCCAACTCTATGCGAGAAGTGAAGCGTATTTGTTCTCTTTCGACTTTCGTTGGTAAGGGATTTTAGGCGAAGCGCATTAAAATATATATATTTTGAAGGGAGTCCAAGAATTATATTTATCCTTATGTTCGGTCATTTTGCTACATCGTTTAGGTTTCATTGGGCCTCTCTATATCATTTCGTTCGCCATTCTAGAGTTAAATTCATGAACAAAATGAAAAGTGTTTAATGTTTGGAAAAGCTTGAACATAAGACGTATTATAAGCGAGGAGTCCCCCAAAAAGGAGAAATCTGGATTTCCTTTAAAGACAAGTTTTGAAGAAAACAAACCCCAATTCTATGAATATAATCTGGAAGAAGTATAAATTGCATCCCCCCTTTTTTTCCAGAAAGGGGACGTCCACCCTGATAATTAAGTTGGGGACCTCGCAAGATACGTCAAAGTATTGCCAATATGTGTTTGACTGAATGATCGCAACCGCAAAAATTCTTAACTTTCTTATATTTTTATCAGAATTTGCTCAAACTTTCACAGACCGGTTCCTAGTCATTTTTCTGCTCTTGA